ACACCATTAAATGGCATTTTCGTCCATTTATTAGACCGCGTTAACTAATGCCAAATAAATGTGGCCGTTAAATGTCCGTTTTTTCTCCATTTCAAAATGGCAAAAAACTGGTCATAAAATGGCATTTAACAGCCAGTTTATGGTCACCAAGTCATTCACCGGTTTATTCTGCCGTCATGAATAGTATAAATGACTCTGATTTTCCTAAAGTAGGGTTGCTGGCAGCGGTTAAATGCCTGTTATTTGACCGTTTTTTGACATTTAAATAAATGTAAAATAAATGCATTTAAACGTTCCCAGTTATAATGGCAAAAAACGGCCTGAAAACGGGATCAAATGTCATAAAAATGCCATTTAAATGCTTACTAACAGCGTATTAAATGGCATTTAATTCGCAATTAATTACACCGTTTTCGACGTCCTGGGATGATATGGTCAGAAAAATGTTGATATCAATGGTTTTTCACGAAATATTTGCGTACCAATGGCAATTTTATCGACATTCACTTTCTGTTCATAAAGAGCTTCGATTTCGAAGCGTGATAACCAACGATTCCAAATTGATACTTCGGCTATTTTACCACGCCATGGATTCATATGCATTCCGTCTTTACAACCAATATGAAGTAAGCTTGCTGCTAATTGCAGTTTTTGTTCATCCCACTGAACATCCTGTGCGAGAGAGTTTCGAATGTCGTCCTTATTATTTTTATCTGTCATGTCTTTTGTACCGGATAATTGACCGTTGACCCAAATCTTTTGACAATTCCGACTAACATTCGCCACGACGTGATACCATTTGTCCGCCTGAATTTTTACATCGGAATCACAGTTAAATTGATATTCATCATCGGATATCATCGCTTGATTTTGGATATAACGACCAGTACGACTAAATCCTAAGTGTAGCCAACAATTTCTTGGATGTTCCCATGATCCAATCGCTGTTCGCCATCCTGCGCCAAGGTCAGTCCAATTTTGTAAAGCTGATGCATCAATGAGAAACCAAATTGAGACGGAAAACACATCAGTTTGATATTGTTTTTTGTTTGAAATGTTAATATCAATCGATTCTTGACCATTAAATTTCACACATTTGCCCAAAAAACAATCTTCAAACGTTGGTATACCATGAAGTGTGTAGTTTTTACCGATAACACCGCTTGAATCCAAGAAAGAGGATTCAAATTTCCACCACCCTATTAGATCTTTTCTTCGTTTTTCAAATGAATGGTAACGGTTTAGAAACCATTGGTTAAAAATTAATTTTCTCCATAGTCTGCATGTCTGAGAAACACATAAGAGTTCGTTCAGTGATCCGAGGTTCAAAAAAACAAGTTGCAACAATTCTGTGGGCAATATTTCGTTCATTGTACTTTACTATTAATTATCTTAAAATATAATGCTAAATGAATCTTCAGTTCTACACATTTAGACAACGACAAAGGTATGATGTACGACTACAAAACAACAGCCACTGATGACGTAGTTTCTCTCTTGTCTTGCTTTCATCGGTAATAAGTTTCTATACTAAGATAACTTCTATAATCAAGTGCTACTTGCTTGCGATGTTCGACGACAGCTGCTTTCAACCGTGACAACAACTGTCTTTTTTCGTTAATCTCAAGCCAATGATGAATAAGAAAAGGAGGAGGACTATTAAGTGGCATTTTCGTCCTAAAACATTTCGCTATAAATCATACATATTTGGAATCAGCATCAAATTCTGAACAAGGTAGCGCTTTCAAAACTTTCAAATTTGAAAAAATATTTTTTGCCCAAACCATCATGGCAAGGGTCCCCCTCAAGGATAAGCGAAAATTCTTTTTGTCCAAAAATTTTGAAAAACATGTTGTCTGACTCAGAATTTGATGCTGATCACGAATATCGCAACCGCTGCTCGAAAAAATGCGGCCTGTCCAAATGGCAATAGAAATAAAATTTGATTCAAAACCCGGGTTTTTCGAGTTTTTGCCCCAAATTTTCGACAAAAGTGCTCTTTTGTTTGCCACACAGTAATAAACCGTTTAGGAATCCATTATATCGAAAACCGGGTTAAAATAATTGCTAACTGGCAACATTTTGGGAAAGCAAATACAGGGTTTTGTAGTGCTTGAAAATCTCTATCAAATGATATATTTCTTTACGATCTCCAAGAAATCCGTAACTTACAAATAAAAGTGTAAGGCACTAGAGTGGCGCTAATTAGCATTAATTAACAGTTACTAATAGTTGAAAGGGACCTTATTCTATTGAGTTCCACCTCCTGTTTCTTAAACAGGAGTTGTCAATATTTTCACATGGTTTTCCAAATGAACTTTTATCACAGTAACAAAAATATTATGTTGTATCATTAATATTCATTATCGGATAACATGTACCATCAGCGCC